ACCAGTCCATCCTTTCAGAGAATTTATAGTTTTGTGCAGGAGATGAGCCCTGGTTAAGTGGTGATGTGTGGACAGAGAATGAAGGTTGAATCTAGGGTGGAGAGACTATTCCCAAGCAGACTCCACAGAGTAAATGCCACATGAATAGGATTATGTAGAGAAAGGTTTGGAAGTGCTGGCATATGAATGTTATGTAGAGCCAAGAAAGGCGCTTGATTCTTGAGAATCTTCAAATTGTAATGTTGATGATAATGCTCATTTTGAGAATTTAGTATGTGCCAGGCATGAAAGTAATCATGCCTTACATGGATACCTTATTTTATAGAATTCAGAAGTTTGGACATGCCATAATTTATAACTATTCTTCTATTGATAGAAATGTAGGTTATTCCCCACTTGATTTTAGTTGGCAAAAGATTTTGGTCTTTTCACTTCAAGAGAGGCCCCCTGAGCCTTTGAATAGCTTTGCAATTGCTGAAAAGTGTTCTGGGGACTTCAGAACTGTGGCTTATGTTCCCTTTTGAGGCATCACTTTGATGGTGTCTCCCAAACTTCGTTTTTTAAGAAAGTGCTGATATTAACTTGCAATATTCATTTGATTGCATGTGTTTCTAGGTTAAGTGTATGACAGCTATATGTCAAAACAGATACTAGGAGGAGAAACAGTGGTTTAGGGTTAGCGATCGGGATTTAGATGATCACCCTCATCTTGTATGTGATGAAAGAGGAAGTTATATAATATATAGTTGAAGTCCTTATTAAGAAATCTACATAAAGTTGTAAAACCTTTGTTTTAAAAAAATCAGGCCAATTTAAACAAAAACTTAGCTTTCAGTAGAGCAATTGCATTTTGCAAAAGAAGAATTTCATATTTCTGTGTAAGGATCATATAAAACGTCTAAGTACAGGTTTAAGAAGGTATGAGTGAAAGTTCAATTGGTAATGCATTTTAATATGTATTTTTAGTTGTAGATGGACACAACAAATTTATTTTGTTTATTTATTTTTGTGGGGCGCTGAAGATTGAACCCAGTGCCTCACACATGCTAGGTGAGCGCTATACCACTGAGCCACAACCCAAGCCCCGTTAATGCATTTTAAAACCCTTTGAGGTTCCTGTTCATGATCTACTGTCTCTCTGCCCAGGATATCTTTCCATGTTGTTAAATTCATACCTGCTCTGAAACTCCCTTTCCTCAGAAAGTTGACTTCTCTCTGGCTGCATCACAATTAATGACTATCTTCTGTTGTTGTTCATTTTTTTGTGGCATTCCACTTCGATAAATTTCTTTGACCCACACTTGGCCAAAGAGCCACATGCATTTTGCCAGGCTATCCCACTGAATTTATTCCCCATCCTACTACAATAATTCATTAGACCACGAGTTTCCTAAAACAGATGCCAAACTAAGTATTGTTACGTGTGTGTGTATACATATATACATATATGTATATGTGGTGTGTGTATGTGTGTGTGTGTGTGTGTGTGTGTGTAATTTTTTTTTTCTTTTTGAGGCAGGGTTGACTCATGATCCTCCTACCTCAGCCTCCTAAGTAGCTGAGATTGTGCCACCACCTGGCTTGTATCTTTGTTGGTCTGATAGTTTTTTTTTTTTAATCACTATTAAGGTTTTTTAAAATGTTTGGGGGCCTGTGGGGGCATTTTTTCTTGGTGAGGGCAGGAAATTTTCATATCCTTTGCTTCTTTTCCTTTTGAGCCATTTGCTTTAGGTTTGTGAATCACATGAATCATGTGCATTAATTATAAATTGATTATAAATTACTTAGACATTAATTTTAAGTATTCCTGGCTTAATTTCAGTGCCAGTTTTACTTTGTCATGTCTTCCTTACTTGGGGGTTCTTTCTGCTGATCTATTTGGTAATGAGAGCCCATGAGATGTGGTCAGCCTGCCTGGAACTCAGGAGTGTCAGGGTCATATCATTTCTATTTATTTCATAATGTCTTGCTATTGTAGTCTTTATGTATAACAGTAGCCTAAGTGGGCACAGAACTCTTACGTGACTGTCTTTCACTTAAACATCTGAGGAACTTATTCTACCATCCACTGGCATGGTACATAGAGATATAAGGATTTTTTTATCCCCATTCTTCACATTTATTAGATTTTTATCTGTATCTTTTGAATTTAAATTTTCTCTAGATTATATCTACAAGTCTATTTCTTTTCATGAAGGTTAACTGGATCTTGGTGTAGAACCTCTTGATTTAGAAGTGGCAGTTTTCAACTCTAGAAAATCACTGATATATTAGTGTGTCTTATACTTTGTTCCTCTTGATTTTAGACTTTTCTGGGTTCTTCTGGAACTTTCATTAATATGCCTTTTTATCTTAGGGATGGCTTCTGAAGCTAATTCACAGATTCAATATCTTTATTCCCTAATCTTTTCTCTATTTTGTTGAATTACTTACCCCCTGCCCTCCATCCCCCCCCAGAAGTGTGTAGATTGTAAGAGTACAGCTGAATGGATTTTCACACACTAATGATTTTAACAAGTTAGTGTCCAGACCGGGCATAAGAACTTGACAAGCCCTGGGGCAAGGTCCCTGGTACCCCATACCAGGTAGGCTGTGGCAGTGTGCAGCGGCCCCTTTAGCTTCATCTAGGGAATTCCCATCCTGGCTCTCTGGAGTTCTTTTAATTACCTGTCTCAGGCCTCTGGTGCCCAGAGTACTTTTGGGTTATGCTAGGTGATCCTGGGCTTTCTTGTGCAGCATTTTATCTGTTTGTCTTTATTTGAATTACTGATGGAGGTGTGAAGATCCAGTTTTACCTGCATGTGATCTTACAGAAAAGTTCCTAGAGGCTCCAAGTTTCTCTTGTTACCGTTCCCTCTCTACCAGGAATACACAGCCTTTCCTAGCCCCTTTCCATTTTTATATTTGTCCATTTCAATGAGGGCAGGAAGTTTGTCTCTTAGGCTGAATTCATTTATAAGAGGAATTCTTGGTACATTTTGGTAAATAAATTCTTATTGAGGAAAAATGCCCCAGATTCAGGGCTGTTGTTTTCTGTTAGAACTGAAATGTCAAGTGAAATGTCTGCTAACCTTCCTTTTTATTTTTGGTGCTGGGGATTGAACTCAGGGCCTTGCACATGCTATCTATGTACTCCACCACCAAGCTGCACCCCCAGCCCCTTTACCACATCCCCATCCTCACAAATGAACTATAATGCATCATTTTTTATAAAGCAGTGGGTTGCAAACCTTTTTTGGTGGAGAGGTCTCAAGACCCCTCAAAGTTACTGAACATTCCCAGCTGCTTTCATTTATGTGGGTTATATTGATTCGTATATATTGAATTCTGTGGGTTATATTGATTCATGCATTAGAAGTTAAATTTAAGATTTTAAACCACAGGAATACAGAAGCACACATTCCACTAATTAGCCTTCAAAACAATGGCATCATCACCCATCATGTAGTCTCTGGAAAATTCCATTACATGTGTGAAAGTGTCTTAGAAAATAGCCAGTCTCAGGAGCCCCAGGTGTTCTCAGACCACACTTTGAAATCCCTTGTATGAAAGAATGTTTTGTAGGCTTCCTGCCTTGTTCATTGAGCTCTTATGTAACATTTTTAAAATTAATTTACTTGTTTTAATTAGGTATATATGACAGCAGAGTGCATTCTGATTCATTATAACATTTTTGCCAGGTGTGTGTTTGTGTGTGCACACACACACAAGCAGTATTGTAGGTCCGGAGAGGAGGGCCCTTGTTGAATTAAAGGTCAGCTTCCAAGGCCATAGAGCTCTCCTGAAATGTGTGGCAAACTCACCTACATGCAGGTTTGTTCTTCCTGGGGCAAGTGCTATCCTTAATAGCTGCTGCTCTACACTCTCTTCTCCCTGTCTTTAGTCCCAGGCAGATCTTATTTATTTATTTTTAATTGATTTTATTTTTTTAAATACACGGCAGCAGAATGCATTACAATTCTTATTGCACACATAAAGCACAATTTTCCATATCTTTGTATACAAAGTATGTTCATGCTAATTCATGTCTTTATACATGTACTTTTTTTGCATTGTAATTCTTATTACACATATATACCACAATTTTTCATATCTCTATTTGTATATAAAGTATGTTGATACCCAATTTGTGTCTTCATATATGTACTTTGGATAATGATGTCCATCACATTCCACCGTCCTTGCAATCCTCTGCCCCCTACCTTTCCCTCCCACCCCCTCTTCCCTATCTAGAATTCATCTATTCCCAGGCAGATTTTAAATGGAGATGCTAATTGCAAGGTTGCTGTAGTGGTCTCTAGAGAGCTAGATCTACTAATCCCAAGGGCCTCAACCTGGGCTCCTTGGCTTCCCCGAACCTATGAATGGGCTGAATTTCCTGGAACTGCATGTTTTTTTGGAATAAGATGTAGTTTTAATCAGGTTTTTAAAGGAATCACCTCATTTCTCTCTGTAGCCGAAGGTTCACATGCCTTAAAGTTCTTAGAGAGTTGAGACTGTATCATACTTGGAAGAGTTTAAGAGAAGCATCAAGTCTTAGGCAATTTAGTGTGCAAATAACAGCATCTCCTTGCTTTGTGTACACATAATTATATACATAATTCCTATAGTGATGTGTCAGTTTGTGTTCCTTGTAATGCTTGCTTACAGCTCTTCCTACAGGTTGTGGTTGCCAGGTGTCCCCGATGTCCTTATTTCAGGACATTCTAGCTGCAGTGCAGATTATTCATTTCCTAAAGCTGCTTCAAAATAGATGTCAACAAGTAAATGAAGCCATGTGCTTTGTATTTTGGTCTGCATTGAAGCCTGTTTAGTTGAATGGAACTTCACTGCAATTCTTTTATTGAAACTGAAGAATGTAATAGGAGATGCCTTATAGGAAACTTTTTTCGGAATTTGCAATCTGAACCTATATCATCTTAACTTTCTAAAGATTTTTTTTTTCTAGATATATTCATAGACTCTAAGTAACCATATCCTTATCTCTGATTGTTTCATAGATTCTCTGTAAGCCGCCCCTGCTGGTGTGCCAGACCTACCGGGGGCTGTCCTCCTGACTGCCCCAGACTCCGGCAGCGGGGCCCCCGATGGCAGTGGGCACCTCCCCCTGAAACCTGCCAAGCTGGACGCCACAGCTCCGCACGACGACACTTTGGCCAGCTCCGTGCCCCCTTTGGAGGCGTGCAACCATGCAGTCCTAGCCTGCAGCCCGGGCATCCCTGAAGAACACTATGTAAGCGAAGCTGTGGAAGATGCTCCCAGCGACAGAGCGTACCGGGATGCCTGCACCATTACCGGTATGGGGGCCCTTTAAATGTCTGGGTTGGATGGAGAGAGGCAGACTTCAGTGAAGACTGGGGAAGGGATGCAGCCACGGGGGAATGTGGGGTGGAACCACCAAAATGCAAAAGTCTGAGCTTTGGGGCTGTGAGGTCTCCCATCCAGAACCTGCTTTGCCAGTGAACCATTCTGTGACTTGTGTCAGTCACTGACCTGCCTGAGATATAGATGACACCTCCTAGAACTGTCATGATGGTTAAAAATATTAACACTGAATCCTGGGCAGCGGGCATGGTCCATCATGGATGCTAGTGTAGTTTGTCCCCTTTCTTCTTTCCCTGAGACTGTTTCTTCAGACAGAGGTAGGTATAATAGTAGTGTCATCGTGGGATGCAGAAACGGAGAACCACGTGCAGTATTTCCTCTACATGCAGTGACCATCCAGATCTGCACAGACATCTATTCTTCAGACACTTGTGTCAGTCATGGCTTCCCAGTGTCCCAGGAACTGAATAATCACCTCCAGGTCCACTGGTAGCATCTACTGTTCACACACTTTGTACTGGAGATCTTCCTCGTTTCTTTTCCCCAGGGGAACATTGAGACAAGCCCTTGAGCTAGTGCCAAGAGAGGGCTGGGAATGGAAGTGGTGTGGGATGGTGTATAGAACAGCAACGAGTAACAAAACTACAGTTAAACCTGTTGCATTCATATAGAAGTTTGCTCTATTTTTCATTTTTGACTTCATTTTTTGCTTTTGTCCTGTTTGAAATAATGCCCTGGTACCACTTTAAAATATGTGCATTTGCTTCCAGTAGCTTCTCATTGTTCTGTATGACCAGTTAGGCTTTGAGGATCTCCTGGGTGTTAGGCAGGGACACAGGGGAGGATGCTGAGGAGGGGGCTATAGCAGCCTTAGAGGGGAGAGGCTGGGGAGGACCAGGTGGCTTCATGGAGGAGCCGATATCCCAGCTGCATCTTCATTTGTCTGAACATGTGAACTTACCCTTGGGATTCTAGCGGAGTCTGTACCAATAAAATCCAGGAAACAACCAGCCTGTTTAACCAGTTTCACTTTTTCTGAACGTGACAACAGAGGGCAAAGAAATGGCAGAATGCAATGCTGAAACCTCAAACCCCACAGGACATTGTAACTCAAGGTCCTTTGCTGGGATATCTGTAGCAAGCTGCATAGGAGAGCTGAGGAACAGCTCAGTGCTGTCACGTTCGGCAGTGACTCAGTAAACAGAAGCGTAAACATGGGCACTGTTGGCATTTGAGGTGCTGGGTAGCCGGATGATGCGGAACCTGCTTGGGATAAAGTCTTACTAGATGGTCATTGAAAGGGAGACATAGACTGAAATAAAGCATTCTCTGAGAGACCTTGAGTTTCCCTAAGAATGTGTGTGTGTGGCCCTGAGGCTTTGCCCAGTGCAGTCCTGGGACACTGCCTGGTATCCAGCCTCTGGTACAGGCACTCCACCCCCAGTTCCCTGTGAGCTCCGAGATGAACAGACTTTTTGTTCTCTTTTGAATTTTAGGCAAAAGTGAATGCTGGTCACAAAGCCCTGTTATCCTGCTTCTCCCCTACCCACAACTTAGAGGTATCACATTTTGGGGTGCGTCATTTTTGTTTGGGATGGTTTAACAAGATGAGCCGATAGTGTTCCCAGGCTGCTGGAGTTACGTAACGCATTGTGTACCCAGGGCAGCTCACAATCTTAGGATTTGTCCCAACAAGCAAACTCAGAAAACTGCTGAGGAAGGCTCAGAAGAGCAGCCGTACCCAAGCTGGCCTCCCATGGAGGATCTCTTGTCTCTCTGAATTGCCTTTGGAGTTTCTTTCTGCACATGGCATTGGTTTTTCAGTTGGGGCAGCCTGTAAAGGCCCAGCCTGTGCCAGCACTCTGCCCGGGGAAGGTCATTCAGACAAACTCTTGTGGTAAGTGTTTTCTCCGGGTGTGTCTGCTGTTTGTTTTCTTTGTGGTATAGCCAGAAAGGAGAAAAGACCAGAGAAATTGTTTCTCTCTTGCTCTGTGGCTGTGTGGTAGGGAGATTGCAATGTTGAATGATTGATGGGCATGGTGAGGGTGTTGGAAGCTGCATGTCTTTACTGCATCCCCTGGTCTGGGCTCAGAGACAGCCAGTGGCACCTGAAGGGCAAGAGCAGCAGGGCTAAGTTGGGACAAGGCTCTCTGGACTCTGACCCCCTTTCCCTTCACAGTTCTCTGTGGCAGCTGAGCAGGGTCACTAAGGTCCCCTCTTGGCCTTTCCAATTTGGCCGTTTCTCTAATCTTGCATCTTCCTCCCGGTTTCTCAGAGCCTCTCCTGGGCCAGCAAGGAGTTTTTCACTTGTGAAGAACTGAGTTAGACAGTGTCTCCCTCGCTCTCTTCTACCTTTCCTCACTGTCTTTTCTTCTTGGCCCTGTAGTTCTAGCCCACACCCTGGTGATGGAGAGCTTGCTGATCATGTCTGCTTTGGTTTGTCATCCTTGCTTGGGGCTGACGTTTTTACTCATTTCCTCTAAGGTGATCGGAATCTGATGGTACGATGACCCATCTGGTTTCTGTCCTGTCTACACTCTGGTTTTGGCTGTCTGGGCCAGAAACCAGTGAATTCCTTAGAGAGGTGTTCTTCCTATCCATTCCAGACAGTCTTAGCTTCCAAACATATAAATCTTATTGATTAAGCCTAAAGTCATTTTGAACCTGCACGAGTCTTACTATTGCACTCCTGTTGAATCAGCAGATGTTCAGGGCCAGCTTTTTACTGGGGTCCCTTCCAGAGAACTGCTCTTGCTCTCTGGCTGTAATCCTGAAAACTCAAAGATAATTGCTTAGGAAAGGGTGCTTATAGCAATTCTCCTACCCAGAAGTACTCTTCATCAAAGGGCCACTATTTAGGAATTTTTCTTTTCCTATCACTAATTTAAGTCATCAGACTTGATGTTTTATCCTCCCAGAATATGCTCAAATAAAACATTTGGACTTGTACATATTATTAACTAAAGTAAGGCATTACCAGTTTCCACCCAGTATAATTTTTAAGAAATGTTTTTCCATTGAAAAGTTGTAGTCTGAGTGATAACTTATGTGGCTATAAACAGAAAAGAGCGGGCAGTAAAATCTCCTTTTGTTGAAGAGTAAGAAAATTAATTCAGAAACTAGGGAATTGCAAGTATTTTCCACATGTATAATTCAGAAGTTTTTTTGTTGTTGTTTTTGTTTTTTGCTTTCTCTCTCTGTGGGCCCTCCCCTGCTTAACAGTTGATCAGTTTTGCAAGTGGAATGAGGGAAGGAGTCCTGTGAGTTCTGCTATGGTGATTTCTATTCATAACATCTTTCCAAAAACACAAAACACTCACCTAGGCTTTTTAAATATGGTATACGTGACTTTTGAGGCCACTGGCTGGCTCCTTCTCTTGTGTTCCTCATCCTGGAGTGGGTAAATGTATTAACCATGGAAGGTTTTCTTGGGGGGAGGGGAGGGCGGTACTGGGGATGAAACCCAGAGGTGCTCTATCTCCAAGCTTCATTCCCAGCCCTTCTTAATTCTATTTTGAGACTGAGTCTCCCTAAGTTTCCCAGGCTGGCCTTGAACTTGCCATCTTCTTGCCTAAGCCTCCTAAGTAGCTTGGATTACAGGCCCGGCATCCCACAGGGTTTTTGATGTAAATTGTAAAATGTAGTTACAGTGTATTGGTAAGATTCTTGATATGTAATTGAGGCTGTAGTTCTCAGGTGCGTGGTATATTTTTGTCTTCCTTCTAATTGGTTTAAGTTATGCACTAGAAACTAGTTTTTAATATATCTACTATGTCACAGAAGAGTATTACAGTCTTCACCCGCCTCCAGCCATTTTAGGAGACAGGTAAATAATAAGTTATAATTGAAAAAAAAAAGTCACTTATTGACTTAGGAGCCAGTCTTGGGCCTCAGCCCCTGGTTCCAGTTCTTCCTGCCCAGCTAAGCCTGTAGGGCCTATGATTGAGAGTGACCGAGAGAGGACACTGGGTGCACTGTGGCCAGGATTGAGCAGTCCAAGGTGGAGACTGCAAGGCCTTTTATAACCTAACCCCAGAAGTCACAAAGTTACTCCTTCATATTTTCTTAGACTTGTGGGCTAGTGGTGATGATTCAGTGTGGAAGGTCACTACACAGAGCAGGTAAGGACCAGGGGGTGGGGCGTATTGGGGGGTGGGTATCTTGGAGGCACAGTCACACAGTATTACAGCCCTATGAAGTATATCTTACCATCGTCTCCTCTTACAAATGAGGAAATTCAAGGCACACAGAACTTACATACGTGACCTGTTCAAAGTTGCACAGTTTAGTGGTGGAGCCAAGCTTAAAATCTAGGCAGTCTGTCTTAGGGACTAAAGCCCTCTTAATGACTCCCCATATTTTGTGAACTTTTTTGACTGTGATTCACAGTAAAACAACAACAACAAAAAAAACCCCAAACCAGAAATCTCATCGTTTTATACTGCGAGTCCTCATATTCATACATAAGACCTCAAACAGAAGTTTCACAAAATAACCTTTGTCCTTATTACTTTCTATTCACTTGGATGTTTTCTGTCCTATTTCCTTCCAGGGGAGAAAGAAAGTAATTGTGATTCATCAAATTGCTTTTATATTCTCTTGCAGTTTGAAAGATTTTTGCACTGTTCTGTCTTGCCTCTGGAGAAACTTAAAAAAGTCCTGCTTCCCAGAGCTCACCCTAAGTTGCCTCAGCATGAAAAAGTGTGTCACAGAAAAAGTGCAGCAGTTTAAAGAGGCACCCTGGGGGTTTTCCACCCTGAGCAGGTTCATGTTCTGAGCACGCAAATGTATGCATGGTCCCTCTCCCTTTAAAAATTTTCTACGAATGAGGACATTAGTCACCATACCGTTGCTTTTTGTGCTCTGTACTGGAGACCTTTCCCTTTAGCACACATCCATCACATTCCTTTTGTGGTGACATATTGTTCATTGTTTCCAAGAGCCACAGTTCATTTAATGAATTCCCAATGAT